TTCTCTGAAAACCGTTGAAAAAGTCTCAACTGAACTGATGACAAAACAACAACAACAGACGTTGACATTTTACGAGCGAGTAATTAAACAACTATTTCACAATTAGGTTCACGATAAGAATTATTGAGCACTTTGTTAGTGTCACTCACGAGCACTGACCAAGCTTTAGTTGCGAAAGATTTATTTAAACAGCGCCGATTTTTCTTGGCACAAACCGGATCAATAATAATTTTGTCTCTTATTTCTACCCTCTTTTGCTACTGCCCAATTAACGACAAACAAACTGAACTCTGCAAAGTACTGACTTGTGCCGTCTCACGTTTCCATGTGTGTGACACCACCTGGGTCAAAACCAAGTCGAGAGAAGAAGATTTTCTGTAAATGCGGAAATTGAAACCTCACACCGTTTTCGGTCCCTCTCACCGAGGGGATTTCATTAATTAACGAAGGCCGTTTGAATTTAGGACCTTCTCAATTAACAGAATCGGCATGTGGTATACGATACAGTGCGACAACAATAGGAGCCAAAACATAGATACAAACTTATCAACAATAAATTCCCCTGGCACAGGCTCAAATCACATTCATAGATACTAGATTTTTGTTTTTGTCCAAAACCCAACAAAAAATACCAACCGCTGGTGCTGAATGACAAACCACACAACTGCATGTCTGCAACTGACTTGGCCATTCATGTGAAGGACAATCATCCATCCGTGTCATCCATTCATGATTGCATTTCATTTTTACCTTATTTATTCACGGACAAACTCCCAGCAGTTATTTTCGGCGTTTCTACTCTTTTTTTTCTCTCCTCGCAACGAGATAGTTTCCTTCATCCTGCGTTTTCAAAGTTGGTCCAACTCGGAGGAAGGCTCGATAAGTAATGAATGAAATAAGCTTGGATTCTACGAGATTGAGTGAAATAGTGAGATGATTTCAATCCCGGATAACTTTGTGTCTGAACTATGCACTCACATTTATTTTTAGTAGTTTTATGGCACCACCATCCAACTTGATGGGGCAACGTAATGATTATGATTTTTATTTATGCACTCGTATGATTGGTTTGACTTGCTTTATTAACAGACACAGTGCAACGAACGAGTGCCAAAAAATTGTGGTTGATGCCAATTATCCCCTTCTTCCAACCCACTTAATAAAGTTGAGCTTCATATCTTAATTATTGTGAAGGTCTCCTCTCCGTTCAGTGCTCTGGCTGATGACTGATGACGCTTTTCGTAACGTAAACAACAAGTCGCTTAGATATTGGCCTGCTCATCAGTTGCAGAATTTGCATCAGAAAACAACAACACGTTCCCCGTTAATGAACTGGAACCATGAATCTATTCCAGTGATTTTTTTTAAACGGTTAACTGATCCATTATTCATAATCACAAGTGACGAGTGGTGTGCACTCCATGAGACGCTGGAGCAGATGCTGGGCTGCTATATAATACCTGGTGGCCGGATGTGGGAGGGACATTTTCTACCAAAGTGATGATGCACGTTGCACATTAGCAATTTGCGAAAGGAAGAGAGTTATATAATCTCGTATTACTTTAGAAGTATTCCATGGCCAATAAAACTTATTAAGTCGAAGAGTCAACATTAACTTTTATGGATCAATAACAATGCCGTAAAGTGTCTCAAATTTCCCAATTTCTTCTTGGGTGCAGAATGCATGTAGATATCTATGCACTCTCAGGCTCGTCAGTGTCCAAACCTTCTTATCAAGTTCTTCTTGACATATGCTAAACAAACGAAAAAATCTCAATGTCGTAGTTTACTTATGTACACTCAGACTTTTGATTACTCGTAAAGATGTGCGATACATCTCAGCACCAGGAGAAAAACAAGGGCAACTTTTATGTACAAAGTGCAGTATGCACATTGATAGGCCAGCACCAAAACCACAACACTCACTCACTCACCGACCGAAGAGAAGAAGAAGACGAGTTGCGAGGAAGACCAAAATCACACTAATTCTCATTTTATGAGATCCTCGCGTTGCAGAATCTCAGCACACAATGCACCAACCACGATTTGGCCAAAGTCAGTTTGCTACTATAGTTGGCAGAGAGAGAGAGAGAGATGCGATGTCGTCGTGGCGTTTGCACCACGGCTGACTCATTGCACGACACGCAATCCAAGTAAGTAAGTACATACGTATTTTACAAACCTCTCGTATTCTTCCTTGAGAGTAAAGATCATTTATTTATCCAGCTCTCTTTCTTCTTAAGCTGGAAATCAGTCAGAAGTCTGCCACACTACCGAGTCTCACTATTTCTTATGATCTTTACGCTTAATCTCAGTCACTTGATCGCGTTCTCAGCCCACTACATTGCATTTTACGTTCGCTGTGCGAACCAACCACGACACAGAGTCATGTCGCAGAGTTGGAAATGTAAGTAAGGAAAATATTTTGGTAGCTTTTTAACACTTGCGAGGAATGCGGAGTGAGAGAGAGAGATCTGCGAAAGACAAAGGTTACAAATGTCACTGGATTTTTTGGTATCACTGCAACCATTAGACTAGGATTCCAGATTCCAGCAGCAGATACGCGAGGAAGGAATTGATTACTCACACAGAGTTGCATACGTATTAAACCTCGGCTTGATTTTGTGAATTTCGACGGATCAATTATGACCTGTTTGCTGTTGTGTGGAGCTGATGAAGAAGGTAATTCGAGGAGCTACCCTACTTTACTTTGCGGTATTTTGTATTGAGTGGAATGCAGCTTTTTTCATAGCAGCCTTCACTCTGTAATTATCTCTTTTCAATGCCATTTTTTTGTACGGCCCGACTGACCAAGTTAAATTGCATGTCTGCATGTACAGAAATCTGACTAATTTGCAAATTATTTATAAAAGTACATGCATACAAAGGATACCATGCCAAATTACAAAGGTCAGCAGAAAACTATGTAGAATATGCAATAAATACATACAATTCTCGGAAATAATAAATGCACTACACAATTTTACCTTTCGTGCCAAGTAGTTTGATTAGTTTAAGTGAGAAGAATGTGAATAATTTAATTTGGTTTCATTTCATGACCGCAAATAATTATGTTCTTTGAATAAAAAAATGCACAAAAAGTGTTGCAAGAACTAAACAAATGTTTACCTGGGCAAGATTGATTTTAGTTTATGAGCTCGTGCAGGAACAATTGTGAATTTATAATTAATCGTTTCCTGTAAATAAGACATTGTTTACACAGCTTGACAAAAGTCGCGTTGAAATTGCGCTTAAAACGAATCATTTGTTGACCATCATAATTCAAGAGAATCGTAAAATCACAACCTGATGAAAACCGTCTGTAGCAATATTTTCAGCAATTGCAACATTGTGAGGCAAATTGTTGCCATTGTTTTCCTAGTGAAATGAATATCACAAAGTTTTTGAGTGTAAATTACTCTCAAACAAAATCCTTTGTGTTTTTCATGAATGAATGAATGGAATACCAGCAAAGCAAAGAAAACTAAATCCCAAAAGCTTACAAATTTGAAAGGAAAAGTGGAGATAGATACGTACAATACAACACTTTTGTTACTTACATTGTACTCCATTTCACTACTACTTATCTTCCAACAAGTCCTATTTACAGTCGTCTCAGGTATCGTTGGCTTTGTTGGCTGCAATATTTATTAAGGGGCAGCAGCAGCCGAATCCGTAAGAGACAAAGTGTAATGACGTAATTTTTCCGTCAACAAAACAAAACCAAGTAATGCTTCAAAAATGTTGGAAACTTGTAAACTTCGGTATGCAGATGAATGAATGAATGAATGAGTACTTAAATTCCTATATGTTTTAACCAACAATATTATGACGTACGGAGACTATGGCTAATAAAGAACAATCGTTTTTGCCTCGCTCTCATTGTTGTTAAATGTTCTCGAGTACCTGAGTGTTATAATCTGTTGGTTGGTTGGTTGGCTGGTATTACGACGACGAAGAACGTCATGCAGTAATGACGAAATCTTTAAAAATGAAGATTGCCATTATTACGTTTAAGTAATAACCATGAGTTGACGGTATTGCCCATTGTTGGCGTATTTATATTGGTTGTACATACATAACAGTCATTATTACGAGGCTTGGAGTCATTATTACGAGGACTAACTAGTCGAAGCCATGTATCCTGTGATGAGATGATGACGCAACTCCTCGGCCAGAGTCATCGCTCATCATTGCGAACTAAATTGCAATTTTAGACGAGACATGTGTAAATGCATACGATACGAGGAACATAAATGTAATTATGTCCCGATTCATTCCCACCAGCAGTTCAGAGAATTTGTGAGAAAACATGATACAGAGAGAGAGATAAGTTAGTTGTCTGCAGATAAATGTGACTTATTGCGTGTGGGCATTTCTCGTCTGGTGGTTTCTCCTTGTACATACAACCTGGTAATTTGTAAACATGGTTATTTTATTCTTCTCTGCGAGACTGATCTTATTCCCGAAATTGTCAACTTCCCAGAACGAGAATTGCTCTTTTAACAGAGAATGAATTCATTTATCTTTATCTCTCGGGATTTGGAGCATATTTGGAAAATCCCGAGATGACTCAGAATCCAGATCATGCTGGAGGAAAGTCGGGAAAGGTATGAACAAAGGAATATCAACCTCGTGCTCGCTCCTGGTGTTTCCCAGCGTAGAAAGGGAAACCCGAGAGTATGAATGAGTGCGAGGCGCGTGGGTGTCGATTCAGGACAAACAAACTCATCTGACTCTGGAGTAGATGACTCTTGATGGAGCTTTACTACAGCCAGGCTACCCGGGTTTTCCCCGTTTCGGCATTCCCAAAAGAATTTCAGCCAGAGCGAGAGACCATGTGATCGATAAAATGTGCATCATGCTACGACTGCATACATATATTTTTGTGTGTATTGTATATATTTCAACACGTTCAAATCTAACGGCATATTTTTTTCCGTGAAATTTATGACTCGTGTTTGGGTAAAATTTGTATGGATAAATGATCAATAACATACCATTTGAGACGAGGTCTTTGGCTTCCTGTTGATCTCAGGAATTTTGAGATTGGCTGAAAATACGAATAAATCAATTGAGACTCGTCGAAGACTAAAATTCACTTTTAAATTTCTCATCTGCTTCAATATTGACTCACCAACAGCTTCGATGACATCGGCCAAAATGACACCGTCCGTGACATCGACTTGCAAGTCTTGAATGTGTCTCTTGCTCCTCACCTTCTCCAAATAGTGATTGGCCCAATCCGTGTAAATCTGAGAAATGGAAGAAGAAATGATTACAATTGGGACAAAATAAAATAATAGGTCGGTTATCGGAATTTATCTCGTGTTTCATGACGTTCATTTTTTATACTCAAAAGCTACAAACTATCCACGGCATACGTCGTACACCAGGAAGATTTAAAAGTGAATAAACTCTTTGTTTGCTTATGTTCACTTTAAAGGCATAAATGTTCCTTGTGCCTGCTTTCCAGAGCTCCGGCCTTTAATGCCGGAATGGGAAGTAGGAAAGGAGGATTGAGGTATACAAAGAAGGTGAAGCCGAATGAATGGAGAAGGAAGGAAGCAGCACGACGAACCAAATAAAACAAAGTGAACGCGTAAATGTTTTAAAACTTTTTTCATCCACGTGCCGTCTAATAAACATTTTGACAAGGATATTTAAAGTTGTAAACTCATTCCGTGTTTATTGTTTGAATTTCAGTCTATTTCAAATGCAGATTTGTTCCAGGCCAGGAGAGAAAATGGGATTTGGCCTCCAGGCGTGGCAGCGTTGGCTGGTATTATATTCCGTGTTATTAAGGTCTTGTAAATATTTCAGAGATCTGTTCGATCAGAATTGCATAGTTCGAGAATAAGAAAGATAGGCCAATGTCATGGTCCAATTTTAATGGATTCTTTAAATTTCCCTACTTTTTGTTACCGACTTTCGCTTGTTAAATGAATTAATCTAGTCAAATCACCTGAACAATTGTTTTGTGCGAATCCGGAGCACGAACCACGCCGTAAAGATCTTCATTAGAATCCGTACTTTTTCTATCTTTGGATCGTATACACGCCATTTTAGCACAAGAACTATAGGTTTTGTATGTATAAATATTCTTAAAATTTGAGATTTTGTGCATATATGCGTTTTCTCCAGCTCACTGTCACTACCACCACCATTAAATAATCTTAATACGTACCACTACGCACTTAGTCACTACAGTAAACCCATCAGTTACTCAATTTGCTTCGGGTAAGCATTAAAATTACGGGTAAACTTAATTAATCCTGACATCCCTCCATGTAACTGAATCAACCGACAGCCAAACGGGCACTGTTGTACGTACAGCAAATGGACGTGTTTGAGAGGCAAGCAGGGAACGGAACATGTCCTCTCGTGCCGTTTAGATGAGGATGAACCCCCAACAAAAGTGAAGCACGTGCTTTAAAATCTCTCCATATTAATTTGCCCTCCGTCGAGAAATGGGCGCTTGGCTGGCAGAAAGAAGAAGTCCGTCCATCCATACACGGAACGCTTTCGAACCCTCGTCTCAACAAATATTCGGGGTGCTGCTGCTCCTCCGACGTATTTTTTTCTTCCTAAAACAGATCTGCCTCCCTTCTAAACTTCTTTTAAACTTGGACGCGATACTGACATAGTTAGTACGAGGAGATAAAGTAAAAGTCGCCTCTGTATGGGTTTAAAGTGGGAGAAAAAGTGATTTAAAGTCTTAGAATGCGTCTCAACATGGCACTCTCGAGAGAACCAACTACGCGTGAATTGGTGGCACAAGGAGGAGTCGTCGTATATGTGTAAAAGTGTAACTTCCTGGCGGAAATAGAAGCTGGAAAATTGTGGAGGAATAAGGAGCAACACCTCCAAACCAAACTCATACAACTCTTGACGGACGGAATGGTGTAAAAATCTGGTTGCGTTTATTCCCTTAACTTATTTAGTTACACTACGTTTCGCCATGGTTCACCATTCTTTTTCTTATCGCATGACAATTTCAGTTGGTGACGTGACAAGCACACCACGATCCGCACCCCCTCCGTCCTTGCTCCGAATTTTTTTTTCAATCCTCTCCTCTGCGAAGGCACCGAGAAAAAAGGATGGATTTATTTAGTCCGAGTTCATACCAGTGTGAAGATCTCGCTCGACGTGAACCTCCTCCAATCTTTTCAGTTTTACACGAGAAATGAGAAAAAAGTCAGATTTATATCCATTTTAGCCTGACTTTGCACAGATGGCTGGAATAAAATGGAACATACTACTCGCTAAATTAATGACCTAACGGAAAAGAGAGAAAGCCAATTTTGCCACTTTTTCAATCTAATTCTCGTCACATTGTAACTTATTATTATCAAGTGGAATGGAGACATTTGGCGAAATAGTTTCATTCCTCGCAAGAAACAGATTGGGTGTGAGTCAACATCGTTGTTGATGTTTTCAAGATGTGCATAGCCGAGCGAGATATTTGAAAAGTTTTTTTTCCTTGGCAGCCCATAATAACAAAATCAGGAGATCATTGGTTCAGAAATGTGTGTGCATATTTGTTGACGAAGAAAGATGATTGAGGGAAATGTGTAGAAATATTTTCCTCCATTTTTTTCATTTTGAATTGTCAACATCCGAACGGAATGGAATAACCAGCAAGCAACGAGCTCAACCGCCCGGAAGATCACTCATCCTCCAGCGAGGAGATTAGTTTGTGCACTTGAGACAACTTCAAATGGATGCAAATTTGTGTGTAAATGTCATACGATTCAGGATTACGTTCGACCAGGGGCGAATTACAAGGGGATGAGGGAGACCGAGTGAGAAAAGGGTTTTGTTACTCTGTTCGCCTTATCTGAGGCTGATCTCATGTCAAAAATGATGAAATCGATCTGGTGAACATGAATAAACTGCAATAACAATATTCCTCTCCTCCTCCTCCTCGACTACTACCAGTCAGCTAAAATGTGTGTGTGGATGAGGGCGAATATTATCATCTATCGCCCTCACTCACTCACTATTTCTTCCGAATCATTGAAACTTTCCAAGATAAAATTTCAACACGGAATAAACACATTGTTCCACCATTTTTCCACTCTTTTCTCTTCCTCAAGATTGTCAATGTCAAGAAGACGCCGTTTAATTTTCTCTGACACGTTTACTCCACTGCATAACACCCACTCGTAATCGTAATCATATAATCTTGGGAAACTCGTCGTGTCCACAGTTGAGGAAAAATTGATGGAATAATGTCCCCATTATATTTCCACTTAAACAAGACATTCCATGTCCATCCTCTATGGTGGTGTGTAGTACATTGGTCGTAATAATAACCATTACGAGGATAACAGAGCCGTGTCATTGTTCCGTTCGTCATAAGAGAGAAAGAGAGATTTGAAGTGAGAAGCAAAGAGGCTCGTTCATTCTTTTACCCTGGAGACGTGCCGCACAAAGTACGGCAGATAATGAGCAATGACTTTATTGAGGGGAAAAATATAAGGACTTGGTTGCGTCGAAATTGAACTGACTTTGACTCTCGCAACCCCAAATAATTCTGGTCTGGATTCTGAATTTTAAGATGCGATCCTAAACACACAGAGTAACCCACACCACGTGCAATTATCCGTACATAGATGCCCAATGGTAGGAATGAGTCAGTTTACGAGAGATGAACGGAAGTAGCAGGGGCTGCTCTGCCCGAGTGGGAAAGTGAGTGATGGACAAGTTAATTGTATTACGTCTTCTTTAATTCTAATCGCACTTGAAATGATGCAATGTGAGAATGAATTTATTTATGACTGGAAAAGGCACGTTGTACTGGGTTCACTTTTAACTGCGAAGTGCCATCAGGAACATAAACAGTCGACTGGTTTTCACTAAAAATAATTAAATCCTATACTCCTCGTTTGTAATTTAGCTCGCGACGAGGATTTATTACGCGTTGCATGACTGAATCTTCCCCGACTGATTGCTACGTATACGTACCTTTTCCTGATTTGAGGCATGTTATAATTGCAGGCAGGGATTTGTCAATGAGTCAAAAGTCACCTCATTAAGGAGATCTTAGACACGAGTTATGGGTGAATTGGTCAGCCAGGCAGGTACGTACATATAGGGCCAGGCAGTAGGGAGATGTTTCCTCCGACCTTGCCTGCTTTCCCATCTTTTTGCTCTCTCCTTCTTCTTCCTCCTCGTGGAAAGAATGATGTGACGTGAATTGGATGGAGGACGACATTGGAAATTCCGTAATGATATTTTCCTTCCAATTTGAGAAGAGAGAGAGAGGGGGACCAATTGCAGAGGAAAAATACGTACGCTTCCCTTCACTCGCTGCTAACTAAGTAACCAAAAAGCAGTCTACATACATACACCACCCATTTGGACTGAATCATCAATTTACTTTGGCTGGTTGGATGGGGTGGATGAGCTGATCTTGAGAGATGGGATGAACAGGAGACTGCTTCAAGTTCCTACTTATCAAAGGCAGCTACATTATCGGGGCAGGAAATGGAGTATTCGTATAGCAGTAAAGATTTAGATGGACGAATTAGTGGGAGCAAATTAAGCGAGATGTTGGGAAAAATTAGTTAGAAATCCAGAAAATATAAATGCGCTTTATTTAATCTGGAAAGTTGTGGGTTAAATCATTCAATCGTGAAACTGACTTTCAACTCGACTCTTTCAGCCAACTCTTCGTCTGGACTACAGCTCAGCTCAACTTTGGCTGAGCAATTTGTCTGATTGACAAGATAAGTAGGAAATACATCCATCGGAGGAAACAAGAGGAACAATAAATACAGTTTTCTTGCATCCAGAAGCCTGTCGTTTCCCCATCTTGGCTGATCGGCCAAAGAAAGGAGAAACTACACGTGAAGGGATAAATTCCTATTTTCCTTACTTTGTGCCCTGTGGACGCTAGTTAAAGCTCACAAACCGTGTACGACCACTCTCTTTTTTCTGTCTCTCTGGTGAATGATGCAACAAGAATCTACAACCCAAACAATTTTCAATTCTAACCCAAACAGCCAATTTCATTGAATTGGATTTTCCCGTGTATACATACAGAGAGTGAAACTGAGCAGTCAGTCTTTCAACCCTGAAGAATCTTGACGTGGGTGACTCAAGGAGAAAAAAGTAAATAAAAGAGAAAGAAGAAAAGTTTACATCGAATCGAATCTGTCCAATTCAATTGATGGTACGGCAAGCAAGCAGAAGCAGTAGCAAGGTCAATATCAGGGAAACTCTGTCCCACAGATATTGACCATATTTT